CCAACACCATTCTTCCTGAGCAGCCATGCTCTGTATAAACAGACTGAGTTCTTCTGGTTTGGCAACCCTTTTTAGCAACTCTATTCTTGCTTATCATACATTCTTTTCCTCTTTCTGAAATATATATATATATATATATATATATATGGGGCAAAGCAAAATTCTTCCGCCTCGTGGAAACGTGTTATGTGCAGCTGTGAGAGTGCTACTGAAACTTGTGATCCCTTGTGGTGCCAACAGTGGGAGTAAGGGAAAGTAACGGCGTTTTCAAAGAACTAAGAATCAGAAAACTGAACCAAACAGGGCCCAAGCCAGGCTAAGTTTTCGTAATCTATATGCAAATTTAGCTACATATTCTGCTGCCATTTTGTCTTTCGATACAGTGTTTTTGTGTTGTATCTGTGAATGTGAAGTGAGAAGGTATGCCATGTGTGTGTTATATAGGAAATAGATGAATCTGTTTTATGTGTGTTACTGGGAAAATGAATGGAAGTTTGGAATCTTATTACATGATGGGTTGGAGGAGCTGTTGTAAGATTCTCAGTTTGGTGGAGAGTGTCTGCAATATATATGTATATTAGTCCATATAAATAAATAAATAAATAAAAACATTTTGATAGTCTCTCTCTCTCTATATCAAATGCTCAATACTACTCCCAATTATCCTCAATTTGATTCTTGGGAATAATGACAGAATTATGAGTTTTTTTCAACATTTTCTTTCCTTCTTTTTCCCAGCTCTGAATTTTCACAAGAAACAGATAAAGTCTAAATTAAAAATCAATGCAACAATAGTTAACAGATTAATGGTTCTTTACAGTAAATAGTGCAGAGTTTCCTTTCTGTCTTTCTATTTTTTGATTTGTGTTTTACCAAAGAACCTTTTTTTTTTATTTTATAAAATCATTTGCCTTTTTCTGTTAAATTTATTGTTGGTCCCTTTCCCAGTTCTTTTATGTAGATACAGCAGATTATTATTGGGAATATAACAAACTGTGCATATACAAAGAACCTCAGCAAACTATATACAATGCAGAGATAGCAAAATGTTACAATGTTTATTTAAAAAAAAAAAAAGTGTTTGAAACTTGTTTGTTCTTTTTAATCATGGAAGAAATCTACCAAAAAAAGACACAAATTCAAAGTGGATCCACAAGGGTCAAGCCACCATATGTCAGTTCACAAACAGGAAGAAACAAACATGGCATGGACCAGGTAAATGATGGGAGACCACCACAGAGGTTGGTGGGAAGATTTTATAGCTTTTAAAGGTATATTTGAAAACAATGATATGAACATAATTCCATGAAAATGATGGAGATCTCATCAATTTCAACTCATAGTGATTGCATGGGCCATGATATTGTGGGGCGGGGGTAAGTAATTAAACTCAAGAAATCAAGTAAAAAAAATGAATCCCCAAATACACCATTTTGTCAAGAGCCCCAAAGAGAGCAAGTTGTGACTGGCAGACTCAAGATAAGAAGAGGAGTTGCCATATAAGTCAATATAGACTACAGATATAGGCTATACAAAACAGGCTAATAGCTGATAGAGCTACTATACAAAGGATGAGACTCATCTTGATGACTTGAGGACCAATCAGCGAGAATAGACTCATGTACCAAATCATATATGAAAAGAAAATCCCCTCATGTGAACCGTGCATCTTGTTCCGTCCAATTCGGGATGTACCACGAACTGGACGAAATAGGTCCTACTATTCCACTAGAGAGGATTCGGGTCCATGCGAATATTTGGCGAAAGTTTTCATTACTACGCGAAAATCAGGAGATTACAAGTTTTAGCTCCAAACACTAGCTCTCGCTCTCATTCTCTTTTCTACGATTTTCAGTGTCTCCCAATACTTAACTCAAACCCTAAACACCCTTATATATCAGGTTACAAGATAGTACTAAATATGATCCACGATCTGCAAGTAAAAAATGGTTCAAAATTTTTCCTCGAGGCTAATGCCCTAAACCCCAGAGCTCTGGTGGGCTTGGGCCCACTGTTTGGTTGGAAAGCTGCCTCAGCATGATTGATCGGTTCGTCCAAGGCCGTGGTTCACTTGATGTGCCTCGACTTAGAGCAGTGTTCCGATTTGTGAGCATGGACGTGCCAATAAACCAGATTAGGTAAAATTTGTGGCTTGAAGTCAACTTTCCAATGGAACTAATTTAATTCAAAATTTAAATTTATAAAAATAGTTATGACTGTTTAAGTGTAGCTTGGTCATGGAACCTTTTAAACTGACTGTGCCAACTTGTGGAGGAACCATTAACCTTCAATTAGAACCATATAGGATGTATGAATCGCCTTAAATAATGATCATTAATTGTTAGTTCGTACACTTGGGGCTTGAGCAAGAGTCCGGTTTGGATCCTTTCCCGTTCATGGTTCGGATCTTTTGGATTCAGTTTGTGACAAAAACCAGAGAGAATTTGAAACCAGCTGAAATTGGTGCCCTTAGGTCCGATGTAGTTCCACAAGGAGTCAATAGTGACTTTAGAACCAACCATTGAGGGACCAAGTGACTCTATCAGGTTTGTTGTGTGCATAGGCTTCAACAAAGAAGTTGATTTAATAAAGGCATTTACAAATTTCCCATTATAACTCAATCCTCAAAACTTTTTCTTCAAATGTGTTATATGGGGAAGAACTATTTCACAACCTTCATGACTAGGTAGGTGAATGAGTTAATCGGTCTTCTTTTTGTTCATAATGTCGTGTTGAGGCCGTAGATTCAACGAAAAATGCAGTTATTTCATCCTTTTGGTTCAAGCATATGAACACGTTTAAACCTAATGATGATAAAGGCTAAGAATAACCTCGGCCATTAGCTCAGCTGGTATAACCTCTCCTCCCTCAAAGGGAAGCGTTGAGAATATGAACTTTTAAAAGGATGCAGCAAATTATAACTATAAACACACAAATGGTGCAAAAAAACAACCTTTCAAGAGATTGTTTTCAAGCCACAAGCCTAAAGAAGCAAATAGAAAGGAAACACAGAGGATGCACAAGAACATTAGCAAAGAAAAGATCGAGGATGAGCTTCCAATGGCATTTTCCAACTACACAACTACAAAATCACAAAGAGAGAATAAACGAAACAGAACGTTTCCATACATTTTCCCAGAAAACCAGAAAATGTGTTCAAAATTAAGTCAACCACTTTGGCTTCCATTTTTCTTTGTGATCATGAAAGCAGTCTCTACATTGAAATTCTTTCAAGGAATCATACACCGAAATCACAATCCGGAAGCAACATATATCTTCTAGGACATTGCTCTTAATGATGTCCATCATTTCTACCTTTAAGAGTATCTGCTACTGTATCCACAGTTCAGTTCAAAAAGGAAAACTAATCAAGAACGAAAAGAACTGCTAGTTTGTTAATATAATGAGTAGTAACGAACCGAGAACAAAACAACTGCTAGTTTGTTAATATAATGAGTAGTAACGAACCGAGAACAAAACAACAACGTACATGCTAAATCGAAGGAGTTTCAAGAAAAAAGACATGGCAATGGAGTGACATTGGAATACATTTTCACTGTGAGGAAGGAAATCTTACTACTCTTTCTGTTTCTATGAAACAATGTTTGTGTAGAAGAAGGGAAGAAAAGAATGGGAAATTCCATTTCAGTTGCCAAAGGTAACACTATGACAGCAATCACTAGGTTAATGAATAAGCATGATTTAATTAATCTGAGTCATTTGATTAATATGCTTTTTTTTCTTATTTATTTTATAAATTTATCTTGCAGCCCCAAAAACTAATCAAATTCTTTTATTAATGGTATATATGAAGCAAAACTTCCCCAACATATTCTCAACACACAAAATCACACAGACAAAGGTGTTTGAAATCAAATTCATCAACTTTTCATTTTCCAATTTTCTACTTGATTATTGAATTACTTTACTAACAAAATCACACAACTTCCAGGTGAATTCTTTGAAGGTTCAAGCCACCGTATAGGCAAAGTTAAAAACTGGAAGCAACTTCATCAGGGGATGCGTAAACAACACGAAATTTCCGTAATTTCGAGGATTTACATCTACAATTTACTTTGTTGAATCCATGAAGGAACCCAGTATATAAATAAAATGATCGCCCTTCAGGCGGACCCAAGTATTTGTGCTTTCAATATCTTTCAATTCTGTTTCGAAACGAAATGGAAAAGAATAACCAAAGAGGAAGTGTGTTGCGTAGAGTTTTGAAGAAAGTGGCTGATTTTCTCCTCTGCAAGGGCAACACCGGAGGTCATGGCTAATTGACCTAATCATACCCCATGTTGAAGAAGATGGTGCTTTGTGCTCGAGCCAGTGGTCTACTGTCTAATAAAGTTGGCAACAGTTTTTATGTAGGATTGTTGTCAACATTCAAAGAGTGCTTTGTTGGTCATTGTGTGGTTAATAACAAATTGTTAGTAGAGTCTGTTGGATAGTCTAGATTTTCTGGATGTACCAAGTATGCTTTTCTTAAGCGTCTGTTGCGACTTTTGAGGTAATAAATATTACATCTATGAACTATCCCAACGCCTCCGTGTTGTGCGTGTGTGTGTTTTGGGGGTGGGTGTGGGTGCGCTTGGGGCAAATGCTCACACATGCAAACAAATAAGTTAATTATGAGCTTATTATCTTCTCTTCAATCTAACCGAACAAAAGGAAAGGCGAAATTTATTCCCTACAGATATCTCATCTATCCCTTTTTCTCTTCCTTCCATTCAAATTTTTTCTTTCCTACCGAAAGAAGCATAAGTCAAGCTATGAGAACAGGAATAGCAAAGTGCATGAACTTTCAGAAAGATCTGAATCCCATATTTGACAAAACAGTATCACAAACCAAGTAAAAGAAAAACAGTTCAGGATGTTGGATATTCAAGCCCTAAAGAAACACAGACAAGGACCTACAAAAAGAAACAAAAATGGGTACAGAACAACAAAACTACCATGAACTTCCATTGAAGGTTACCAATTAAAATAACTACCCAGGACAAAAAAGAGTAATAATAGAACAACTTTTTAGAAGCACAAGCTCTAGTTTATAACTTCCTTTTTTGGCTTTATTCATTTACTTATATCCACCAGCAACATTTCAGGAACTGACTTTTAAGTCTCGTGATACAAAATTAAACCCATTTAGCTAGTAACTACAGTAGAATCTCATATACAGCAAACAAGCAAGTCATTTTTGGGCATGAGAATGTTTCTAGTTACCCATTCTCTCTCTCTCTCTCTCTCTCTCTCTCTCTCTGTGTTATATGTCACAAAGATGTAAACTTAGTAACAGTGGCAAATCCCTACAACCTACAGCTTAATGCTCTTTCGCTTTCAAGAAGGCAGTACTCTGAAGATTACTCAGTTCCTCCCATCGCCAGCCGAAAGGAACATATACATTCACGGGCGACTAGTTTACGGTTGGCTTGCACATAGCTTCAGGAGCTTTCATTCGTGTCCCCAACTGCATAACGATTTGTAGTATCACTCAAACCAGACGAATGAAGATGCTTTCGCCTCTTCACAAGATGTACTGCAGTTTTCCTGTCATCCCGTGCCTCTATAGAATCAGGCTGCAAGCAACAGTAAACTAATTAGGTGTGTGAAGTAGAATTTATATAATCAAACCCTGAATTAAGCAAGCACCTCCACCAGGTGTACTCATAAGTTGGAGAGCAGGATTGGGTTTCTGGAGGCTATTGATTCCACTAAAGGTACAATCAAATGAAATTTTAGCATGATCATGTATTAAATGGTTGGCCTATCTAATGCTCAAGTGAAGCCATAAGAATCTTGAAAAACGAATGTCCAATTCATATGATCATTTCTTTCGGCCAGGCAATCTCCTATTCATTGACAAGTGTTCAGTATCACACCATTCTCTCAGTTACAGTGCCACCATGCCATGCCTCTGAAACCATACCTTGATAGCTAATGCTCTGTCAAAACTTTCAATAGCTCTATCAGGCTCACCAAAGTTTAACTGTGCTCTACCAAGGGTGATCCAGGCCTGAAAAAAAAATTAAAAAATAAAAAATATCCACTCCTGTAAGGAACATAAAACCACTCTCAAGTTTTAACATAAGCCTAATGAAGTACTTCACTTATCACTGAAGACTTAAAATTCAAACAAGTATCAAAAAGTTGTCAATTTACAATTAGTACTTGAAATTTTAGCACTTAATTTTAAGCTCTTAATATTTTGGTGGTTAATTTTCAGTTTTATCAAACAATGCCAAAGTTCATCAAAATTGCTAATGAAACTTATACTACATGAAGTAGATCATATATAAAATGAAATGGCTAAATGATTGTCTAATACATCATTGGACGGACTCTCATTGTCCTTGAGTTAGCCACTCATGCCAATCAAACCGAGGTTCAAGTTCTAGAAACAGACTCAAATATACAGCAACTACTGATAGGAGGGACTGTATTTTCTTTGTAGGTGATTGGAGACTATACATGCATTAAAAGTTAACTGATGAATGGTTTTTCTTGAAAACAATTGTGTTGGTTAAAAATTGGAGATAACATACAATCCAGGATGATGCAACAAGAGAATGATTCCCCTTAAAGAATAATTGAAGCAAAGAATAAACATATTTGAAAAGTATATTAGAAACCAAATCTAGCCTTGAGGCTAGGTACATTAACAGCATTGGAATTTCTGATGATCAAATCATCTCTACCAAAGGATGAATTTGACAAAGGAAAAGGTAGCACACTAACATAACAATGTCATATGGGATTGGTAGATCTGGGAAAGAAAAGAATAAACCACATCCCTTAAAAAGTAAATGGGGTTTATCAATTAAAATCAGCAGTTAGACAACTCCAGAATGATCCAATCACCAAACAAAGAGAAATTTTTGTAATAGCTGCATTACCAAAAAAGATAAATTTTGATATTAGCTGCATTACCAAACAAAGAGAAATATTCAGTTTTGAAATAAAGCAATTGGCAACTACACTACCTCTTTTTTTAAGTTGGATTTTTTTCAAATGTTGCACACCGACAACGGCATGTTACAGTCCAAAGATATTCATACCAAGTTGACAACTAAAACAAACTACAGCATCAACATCTTGATCAATTGGTTTTGAAACTCATAGCAAGTCACATTGATTGAGAAATTAAATACTATTCAACACTTACTGAAGTCAAGCTTACTGAATTCAATAAACTTGATCAGATATCCCTCTCAAATTCCAGATTTCACTTATCTCTATATCAAGTCTCACTAGGTCACTATTCCGAGGACTTCTTCCCCTCTTTAAACCTACCAGCATCCATGTGGCAGCAACACCTCCCATTACAAGCCCTTTGAATTAGCTTCTAACATCTCACTTTCATCTTCAACCATTATAGCAGAGACTTTAGCCATTACATGACTGTCATGAAGGAATAATTTAGGCTGCTGTAAACAATCCTTCGTCACTCCATAATACCTATTAATTTCACTTCCACAACACACAGAGTGAACCGTTAAACAAGCCTCACTGCTATCTTTGTGCCAAGTAATTTTTCTTTCACTCTTGATTTTTCTCTTATACCATACCACACCTAAAGTAACAGAAGAAGAAAAACACATAAGATACCATGTTCACCAATCCATCCAATCCAGTCTAGACTACTGATTCACAAAACCTATTTTAATACTTAGAGACCAATTATTACACCTCACCACACCTAAACTAACAGAGGAGTAAAAACACATAAGATACTATGTTCACCAATCTATGCAATTCCTATCCAATCTAGACAGCTGATTGAAAAAAACCTAATTTTAATACCTAGAGCCCAATTAGACTACCTTTTCCACTGCAGTTCAAATGGGCCAACTTAATCTGAATCCCAGTAGATTAACAAACTCTTATCCTCAAAATGCCAGAAATTACTTTGGTCCACACTCAGGTTATTCATTTCCATGTCCTTCTCAATCTATTCTAACCCCCAACCTAGACCATTGTTTTATTTGTTGGGTTAAAAGATGTTACAATGTGAGATCTTAATTGAGAGCCGCCACAAAGCTTCATAGAATCCTCCACCTGGAATTTTCAAAGTCTGCACCTTGAGGAGATCACTGCCCGAACCCCGAGGTGGATGCCTGTGACCATGGCTTAAGAATATACCAACAATATTGGGTTTCAAGTACCAGTTAAGCACTAAAGATGCTAAACAACAAGGACTGCAGCAAATTCAAGAAACATACCTTGGACAAAAATAGGAATTAGAGATTTTATAATGAGCATGGTGCTTGTCAAGGATTGCAGTTACTCTCTCTCTCTCTCTCTCTCTCTAGAGAATAAGAACTTATTAATCAAGCCTTTAATAATTAGTTCAGTAATCCAGCATTCATAACAGTGGTCCAACATTAACCGGTGCTGTATGTAGAAGAGCGATTAAGAGAGTGAGTCATTTGTTTCTACATTCCTTGGTTGCTGGAGAGTTATGTGGGCCCTTTTCCTTGCTCTGATTAGGGATCACCAGGTGATATCCAAGGTAGCATGACATGTTCTTGCTAGCTGGAGAGCAATTGACAGACGGTTCCCTTGTGTCTTTGGTGGTACATCTGAGGTGGGAGAAAAAGCCAATCTTCTAGAGGGTAGGATCAACGAGTAACTCTTTTGCTCTGATTGATACCTTTGAAGAATTTCTTGCTCCGTTACATCACATGTACTTGGGTACATGCATTGGGCGCAGGTATGCGTCCAATCATCAGATGTATCAAATCTCAAGGGCATACATAATATTTAATATTCTTTTTGAGTAAAATAATGTTTTTATGTTTTATAATGTTGAACATAGGTATTCCACTTATTTTGTATCCTAGTGCTGGTTGCGGGTATGTGTCCAAGTGTTGGATGTGTCAAATACCCAAACAGGAAACAAAAACACTCCTAAATATGTAAATTATTTTATTTTTTAGCGTAAAATAATATTTTTATATATCATATTGTTCAACAAACGTATTTCACTTGTTTTGAAGAAGAGTAATAATATAATAGAATTAGATTATTGGATATGCTTTTTAGGTGTATATCCAACCAATATTTGTTGGACATATGCCATACCCATGTTCAAGTGTCTTACGCGCAACATTGGATAATTAATATACTTTTGAAGAGTCCATGTAATATAGGTGTGAGTAGAAAACCTCAGCCAGTAAAAACCACAAGATTGTAGTCCGGAGCAAAGAAATCAACTTTGTCGAAGAAAAAATTACACGAACACTGACTCATACTTATGCTCATATCCACGACCTGGTTAATAACAATCTTAGACTAATTGTCACAACCCACCCCAACCCGTGTAGATATTGTTCACTTTGCACTCTCTCTTCTTGGTGCTCATAATTTTCCTCAAAACACGTCTACATAGTTAAAGGGTGTCTACACATATAAATGCCAGGAAATTCTCTACCCCAACCCCCCACCCCCCCGGCTAGGGCTGCAAATGAGCCGAGCCATTCGCGAACTACTCGAGCTCGGCTCGAATTGAGCTCGGTTCGTGTTCGTTTGTCTACTAACTGAACCGAGCTCAAACAAAATTACTGGGCTCGTTTATTAAACGAGCCAAGCTCAAACACTACTCTGCTTGGCTCATTTGTCCATAAACACGTTCGTGAACAAGCTCGCTTATGGCTTGTTTTAATTGATACCATTTGTCACAACCAGCCCTAACTTAAATATTGTCCGCTTTGCACACTCTCCTTTCAGTGCTCACGGCTTTCCTCAAAACGTATGTACATAGTTAAAGAGTGTCCACGCATACAAATGTCAGGAACCTCTCCCCGCTAGGCGTCTATATGTGGACACCTCTTAATTGTGTAGATGCGTTTTGAGGAAAAACGTGAGTACCGAGAGGAAAGTGTGAAAAGAGAACAATATATACACGGGTTAGGACGGGTTGTGACAATTGGTATCAGAGCCAGATCCAACCCTTGATCCGATGTCACGCTAATCGTCCGCCAGGAGAACCCACTCAGGAGGTGCCCGATCAAGGCCAGGTAGGCAGGGTCCGACCACAACAAGGACGTGCGAGTTCGTGTGAGGGAGAATGTTAAAGGAGTCTTGTCCCACATTTTATCCGGATGGGAAAGAGAATAGGTATATGTCACACCCCAAAACCATAGGGCGCGATTTATAAGGTTAAAACAAAAAAATGGAACAGCAATGCTCAACTTAAGAAAATTCTGCGCAGCGGTTACTCAAAAAATTATAGAAAATTCAATTATTATTGAAATGAAGCAAACTAAGATTTTTTAGAAACTACACTCAGATTACAATGTGACCGAGCCACTTTCAGATACTAGAAAAACACCAATAAAAACAGTTATTGGAAGGAAGAAGGCTCTCACAACTTGTGTTAAATTGGAACCAAGTGCAAAACTTTGGCCTGGTTAGTCTTTTAGAAAGCAAATAAAAATTTGGGGTCTTCACCTTTAGAAACTAGACACCTGAAATAATAAAACTGGAAATTTTCGTAATTTATTGATGTCGGGAAGTCCGTCAAATTCTTTTCTCAAATTCAGTTTCCAAACTGTGACCAGAAACCAAACAGCAGATAATATAAGATTTTTTAAAAAATATCCACCAATCGAAAAATTGTAAAATTTTTGTGAGACTTTATACACAGAGGGGAACATATGGTAAAAATTTCAGAGCGTTTGAATCACTACAGCCTCTGATTAAAATTCCCCTAGCTCTTGCTTGGAAACGAATTTGAATCAGCCTCGGAATTTTAATCAGAGGCTGTAGTGCTTCAAACGCTGTGAAATTTTTACCATACGTTCCCCTCTGTGTATAAAGTCTCTCACAAAAATTTTACAATTTTTCAATTGGTGGATACTTTTTAAAAAATCTTATATTATCTGCTGTTTGGTTTCTGGTCACAGTTTGGAAACTGAGTTTGAGAAAAGAATTTGACGGACTTCCCAACATCAATAAATTACGAAAATTTCCAGTTTTATTATTTCATGTGTCTAGTTTCTAAAGGTTAAGACC